TGGGCCAATAAAAAAGATGAAAAATTTATTTTCAAGAAACCAAACATTTCTCCTGAATTATTTAAAATTATTTTAAGGTAACATAAAATTATAAAAATTTATTGTTTAGTACTTTAATAGTTAAAAATATTTTTAATTATTTAGATATATTTATTGTGGGAAGATTGATTTAACAAAATTACAAGGTCCTGAAGTATTAAAACTTTTGATTGTAGTGGATGAACTTAATATTCAATCTTTAATCTCTTGTATTCAAAAATATTTGATTAAAAATGAAGATAAGCTTAAGCTTTTGCAACAGAATCCTATAGAAATCCTTGAAACAGTTTATCAGCATGAATCATTTACAGATTTATGGAATTATTTTCTTGAGAAAATTTGTGAAGATCCTGAAACGTTATTTAATTCTAATAAGTTTACCAATTTAAAAGCGCCTTTATTAAAATTACTTTTAAACCGGGATGACTTGGATTTAGAAGAAATTATAATTTGGGATAATTTATTGAAATGGGGTCTTGCACAAAATCCTTCCATTTCACAAGACTTAACAAAATGGAGCAAGGAGGATATTATAATTATGGAAAGATCTCTTCATGGATTTGTTCCACTTGTTAGATTTTATCATATTTCCTCAGATGATTTTATTGAAAAAGTTTATCCTTTAAAAAAATTATTACCGGAAGATTTAGTTGATGACTTGGTAAAATTTCATATTACACCAAATAAAAAATTAACAAATGATAAGATTGGACTTCCCCGACAATCAAAATTTATTTATGATTCAACGTTAATTGAACGTCAACATTTTGCTATTCTAGCTAGTTGGATCGATAAAAAAGAAAATTTACATTATAATGTAAGAAATATTCCTTATAATTTCAATTTACTTTATCGTGCTAGTAGAGATGGTAATGCACCTGCCAAATTTCATGCTAAATGTGATAATAAAGGAGCTACTATTATTGTTGCGAAAATTGAAAATTCAGAACAAATAGTTGGGGGATATAATCCACTTTATTGGAATTTAAGTAGTTGTAATATGTCCACATTTGATAGTTTCATATATTTTTTTGCAGATGTGAAGAATATAGTAACTGCAAAAGTAAGTTATAGTAATGGCAATGAATATTCTATATTTAATAGGCTGAATTATGGACCAATATTTGGTGGTGGTTACGATTTAGTTTATTGTGGCGATGGTATAATGTGTTGTTATAGAGGTAGTCAAAGTTCTTATTCTGAAATTGATGGTATGCCCTATGAAAAAAGTCTGTGTGATTTTTGTTGAAAAATCATTCAATTAAATTTACTACGATTTCTGTATATTTGACCATACAATAATTGTGCTAAAAATTGCAATAAATCACACAATTATTGCATGGTAATTCATTCAATAATTATCCTATTTTTGACCTGAATTTATACAATTATTGTGTGATTTTTGAGCCAAATTTTTTTAGGCCATATTTTAGGAATTATAGGTTAAATTTTACAGTAATAACAGGCAATTTATAAAGTGAAATTATGAATTTTTTTTATTGACTTAAAATATAAAAAATATACACAATATTTCATAAATAAAATACTAAATTTGATATAATCATAAATATAAAAATTTGTAAGAAAATAAAATAAATAAAGTATGTTAGTAACATGAAAGTAAATTAGTATTATCAAAGAAGAAAGTAAATTATTAGTGTAAGTAAATTATTAGTATTAAATAAAAAAGTATGAAGTTAGTGAAGAAAGCAAATTAGTAGTGTTAAAAAGTACTAAATTATTAGTGTTAGTAATAAAAAAGTATGAAGTTAGTGAAGAAAGCAAATTAGTAGTGTTAAAAAGTAAATTATTAGTATTAGTAATAAAAAAAAGTATGAAGTTAGTGAAGAAAGCAAGTTAGTAACATTAAAATGTAAAAAGTTAGGAAAATAAAAAGATAAAGAACACAAGTTTTTCTTACCTGATATTTTAAAAGAAAGTTGAAGAAAAGTTAAAAGGTTAAAAAAACATAAACAAAAACATTTCGCGTCGTCATATTTATTTTGACGATCAGATCACGTGATCAACATATATAATTTTAAGAGTTGATTTTTACCGCATAATTCTGGCCAAATTATAATTCCGGTCAGAACTAATTGTGTAACCTAATAAAAAGTTTTTGACTTTTTTTTAGTTACAAGATGATACAAAAATTTCACCAATGGGTCCAGAAGATGCCCATTTATAAGCAAATATGCAGTTGAATTTTATGTAACCTTACTGCATAAATCACTTTACTTAGGAAAATCTATTTGTAATGGTTAAAAGTGGTCTATTCGACCCTAAAAGTGGTCAAATGTAACCATACAGGTAAGATGGAAAGTAGTATAGTAGGATTACTCAAAAATTGCTTTCTGTATCCTAAATTTAAGTCTATTTTCAAGTTGTACAATAATCACAATTTTTATTGTACAAAAATTGAATGTTTTCTGTATCCTAGATTTAAGTTGTATAAAGATCACACAAAAATTGAACATTTTCTATATTCTAAATTTAAGTTGTACAAAAATTGCATACTTTTAATATGCTTTGAAAAACTTCATAGCTAATTTTATCCAAAAATCTGCAATAATTGTACAATTTCCACACGGACTTGAACAAATATCGTACAAAAATTGGATGATTTTTTTTCATAGGGATGCCAAGAGGAAGATTTAATGTAAATGATTATGAAGTTTTTCAAGTGATTAGAAAACAATATTTTCTTGAATGTATTTATAATTAGTCATACTTTTAAAGTATAAAAAAAAAATATTTTCTTGTTTCAAAGAAAAAAAAAATCTTTCGTAATTGCTGATCATTTTGGTATGATTTCTGACGAAAAAAAAATCTTGGACAATCATAATTATGCCTTTGTTTATTTTATTTAATTAATAAAGAGAATCTTAGATAGTTATTTATTATTAATTCTGCAGAAAAAAATAGTAAAAGGAATCTATGCTATTGTACTTTTTTTATTAGTATTGAAACATTCAAAAATAGCTACAGTATCTTCTAAATACATTTCTTAACAATAATAAATCTTAATAATCGTATTAAGACTAAGAAAAAATCATATACTTTCTAAACACATAAGTTTTTTAGTCAATTTTTATTTATTTTTTATTAGTGAAAAAATTAAATCTGTTCTTATGATTTAAGCGAAAGGATTTAAATTTGATCGTTTAATGATCATTTTTTATGGCATTAGAATTCATATTTTTTTTGGTTTAGTTAATTTGGCTATTAAAAAATAATTTGATTACCTAATTTAGTTAGTAAAATTTTTGGCAAAATTTATACGAAGTAAAATTATATTGGTATAATCATATCTGGTATTCAATCAATGATCTTTTTTTAGCTTAGTAATTTTTGACGAAAAAAAATTAGATAATTTCTTATTAATAAAAAAAATACAATTGTTTTATTTTGTAATATTACTTTCTTTTAATTAACTTATTAAAGTTAGCTTAGAATCACTATCCTACAATTTTTACAAAAATAAAAACTTTATATGAATGTCTCTTGTCTAACGGGTGACGTCAGGACAAGTATTGAACTGTACGAAACGACATATATATAAAATTTGTCTCTGAGCGGTTTCCTTTTTAGGATGCTGATCTTCTATATTCGGCATTGATTTACACATTATGTAATACATTTCTATTATCTCAGATTTGGACTTTTCCTTTTATATATTAAAATCGATCTTTAGTGGGGTAATGATTTATGAAATTTTTTACCTACATATAATATACCTCTATAATGAGAAAAAATACATTTATTAATCTCAGTAGATAGCGATGCGAAATGTACCGTAATTGAGATAACCCGCGATGGTATCGGTACTTTTCGCCGAAATCCATTTCACTGAAACCCGTTTCACCGAAGCCATTTTGCCGAAGGAATATTTCAACGAAGGGATATTTCGTTGAAAGGACGGATGTTTCGCTAAAATACCATTTCACCGAAACCACATTTCACCGAATTCCATTTCACCGAATTCCATTTCACCGAAGCCATTTTATCGAATGCATTTCACCGAATGGAAATTTTGCCGAATGAACATTTCACCGAAAATATTATTTATTCCATTTGGTTATTTTATTGTTTTTATACTATATACTGTACATAAAGAAATCTTTTCTAGAAAAATTTTTGAATTAGATGATTTTATTAAATTTATCTCCTTATTTATAATACATTAATCTTTTTTTTACTCACTTTTTCGAGAATAAATGTTTTCAGAAAAATAAAGTTATTTATTTATTTCCTAACAATTAATATCAGTTACTTGATAATATCCTGGAAAAAAAAAACAAAAAATAATTTAATTTTTATTTTCATGGCGTGATGAATATTTTTATAAAAATTTTAATCTCTAAAGCGGGGCAGATTTGGACAAATAATTCGTGACAAATAGGTTTTTACTAACCGAAAAAATTCTATGTCCTTTGAATACTCCCCACTTTCGGCGAAATGTCCATTTGGCGAAATAGAATTCGGTGAAATGGAATTTGGAAAAATGGACGAGCGATTCGGTGAATTTGATTCAATAAAATGCACTTTCGACAAAACGTCCCTTCGGCGAAACGTCCCTTCAGTGAAACGTCCCTTCAGTGAAACGTCCCTTCAGTGAAACGTCCCTTCAGTGAAACGTCCCTTCAGTGAAACATCCCTTCGGCGAAATGACTTCGGTGAAATGGAAATGTACCGTAACCGATAGCATAGCGATTACCTTCTTATTAAATGACACAAAGTTTACTATACTCATGTAGGGTACAGAACGTAATTTGCTAAATGAAATTTATTTACAGTATAATTTAACCATCTGCATCTGGAATAGTTAAGTATTAGGGCGTTACGTACCCATACACCTCTATTTGTTTAATTTGGCTAAATTTTCAAAACATTTTTAATTTTTATAATTTTTATAAAATATAATCAAAAAACATGTTTATTTATAATCAAAAAAACTCATATACTTTAAGTTATATATATATAAAAATCATGTACATAAGTTATATACTAAAATTATGAATACAAATCATACATATCCGATAACATATCGTACTTTCATTTTTTACTTTATCTTTTAAGGCTTGCTCAAAATTTTTCTTCAGCCTTGTTCAACCCATTAACGTAATGAACTTTCGTTATATCCGTTGAAATAATAGGTTCGAAAGCTCAAAAATGCACATCTTTATCTTACACTTATTTTAAAGTTAACTAAAAGTATCTAAATTTAATATGAATAAGAATCCAAAATATTCGAACTTTCTACTATTTCTTCATTATAGTACTTTCTAATAACATTTATATGTTCTGTTGTAATAGCAACCATAGGTTCCCCATAATAACCATTGATATCAAAACTAGTAAGTTTTCGTCCCCTATAACTCTCAAGAAAATTTGTAAAAGCATCAATTGTATATTTCCAGTTTCCACTAATACCTATATTAGTTAAAGATTCTGGAGAAAATTTTGCTAAAATGCCTAGTAATTTATCTCCTATATCGTTAATTTCATCCGCATTATCAAGATATAAACGTACTAAACCTTTGCAATTCTTTAATAATGTTTCAACATAAATCAAGTCGTTAATGCCAATATATGTAGATAAGAACTGTATATTTGGACAACGATTAGAAATGGCTTGAACTAATATTCCTGTATTATCAGCAAAATTACAAAACACTTGAACATCCTCAATCTCTCCTTTGGTTTTTTCAATTAATATTGCCAATTCCTTAAAGCATGATAAATTATTGCCCATTTCAAGAGAACAAAGATTTGGAAAATTTGAATTTTCTAAATATTTTTTAAATTCAACAATTTCTTTAGTTTCATCATAAATTCCACCATTATTACTAACCATTAAATAGGTTAGATTAATTAACGATGTTAAGAATGAATGTGAAATAACACCAATTGAATTATATAAAGTAAGATGTTTAATTGTACAACTTTTTCTTGCTATTGCTCTACCTAGTTCTTTAAAATTTCCTTTCTTTTTCATATTATGAGAACTAAATGTTACACCTTGTAAGTCTCTCTGTGCATCAATTAAAGAAATTAATCCAGGGATATCTTGAGAATAATTATTAATACTTAACATTTTGATATCTCTGCAAATCTGTGCCAACTCATAAAGATTATTGGAATTTACGTGTTTTAGATTAACATCTATACTACAAAGTTGAGAGAAACATGTTTGAGCTCCTGGAAATGATTGTAAAGGTAGAGAAGTATTCCAATCCAAATATCTAACGTTTTTACATTGACTAATTAATAACTTGTAAATTTCTTGTTCTAAAAATTTTCTTTTTTCTAAAAAATCAATAGATTTTGTAATTTCTTTTTCAAATACAAATTCTATAATATTATTTATAACTTTAGCATGTAAATATTTAAAAAAGCTGATATAATTAAATGTTAGGGATTTCGAAAAAATTGTCGAGGGTAACCTAATATCATTATCAAATAAAAGTTGTTTTAAAGAAGGTGGTAGACAGGAAACTATTGTATTACAAAATTTTTTTTTTGAATCATTATTAAGGTATTCTGGATTTGCCCATAAGATAGGAACTACTAAATGAGACCATTCCTTATTAACTAAAAGACATGAATACAAGTATTTATTTCTTATTTCTGCTTTTAATTCATTGAAAATAAGAATAAGACAATCAACATTTAATTTTTCCATTTTATTTTAGTTTAAAAAAAAATGTATCGTTTTTTTTTTAAACGTAAAAGACGTAAAGACGTAAAGTGCATATAAAAAATTATTGGATGAATATTTATATGGTATTATAGATTACGTATACCCATTGCGTAATTTGTGTATATTTGGTATTGATCTAATAATCTAATACAAAAGTGCCATTGTGCTAGAGTATGTGGTGATTTGCGAATATAAATACCATTTGTATATTTGCTCACTAACTATTTTAAGTTACCTTCAGGTAAATCTTTGAACTTTATTATTAAGTTTTTGTAATAAACAACTTTTTTTTTTCAGGATATAAGTTCTTCTACAGCACCAAACAGCGAAACAGTGGAACTAGTTATAGATTTGTAAGGAAGTAACGTTAACAATTTATGACAACAATATGAAAAGAATTTGGTCCGATAACGAAAAATTTCGATGCTGGCTGCGGGAGGCGCAGCAAAAAAACATACACATTACAAAAACGGCAACTGAAGTCGAAGAACGAATTAAAAATCGTAAAAAAGAATTAGATTCTTCAAACAAAGAACTGAATACGGTGAAACAGAAACTAGGACAAGAAAGGAAAAAATTATCATCGTTTGGGATTGTCAGAAAAATGACCAATCAAAAAGTAAAAGTAAAAACCCGACCACATGATCGAAAATGAAGCAAAGTTATCTGTGGTATCACGTGACATAATTTTCTACGATATTCCAGCTCAGTATGGAGAATGAAGTAATTTCGGCGATAAAAAGTTTTGATTTCCAACTTAAATTAGCATTAAAAATAACGGAAACACCAAACAGTCAGAGCTGGAATTGACAAAAATGGAGTTTTCCATTAACGATTGGCCTGAACAAAAAAATAGAAAGTATTTTCATATTAGATGGTTTATTGGATGCTCAAAGTCAAGGATATCAAAGAGCGTTGCGGATGGAAATCCTATAAGGTGCTTCATGCGGCTTCATTCAAGACGTGGGTAAAGGTGATTATAGTTTTTGAATATGGAAAAACTGTACGTTTTGGAAAATAATTGATATTTTTGGCGAACTTTAAAGATGAGAAGCAAAGACAGAAAGCGATCAATAAATCAATATAAGTAGAAGATAAAGAAAAGGCTTGAATCATTTATAGTCGGCATCGAGTTCAACGTAACGGTTCGTTAATTGGAACGCGAAGCGTACTAACTCCTTACCACAAAGACCTAACCTTCACATTAACACGGACGATCTTATGAACGAATTAATGGCTGAAGTAAAATGGACACACCACTAAATACACTCCCTCCTGTTGAGACGGTAGTGGAAACGATCAATAAATTCCGTTCGGGAACATTAGACGAGGCACCTTGTCCGATAAGTTCACAATCGATTAAAGAATATACTCAACCGGAGGGAGTTGTTGAAATCATTAGGAATTGGCGGGACTATAAACCGGAAGTGAGAGTAACGGATTATGTTATGACCGACAGGATCTGTGGTGTGGCCAGATTTTTTCCATCTTTACATGCGGACAAGAAAGAGGAATGTGAAATGACTAAAAATTTGTTCGATGAAAGTTTTTATGAAAAACAAAAAATGGCGGTCACTTGGTATAAAACAGTAATGAAGCGACTACTAGTTTGGAGTTTGCTGGCTCAAAAAAGGATTTCGAATGAGGAATTAAATAACTATAACCAAATTAATGCGTCTTGTTCCGCTAGGTTACTTAACCCGCTGCCTAAAAAAGAAGTTAAATTTACGGACGGCATAAAAGAAGGGAAGAAACACATTTTAGCAAGTGAGAATATGAATGGAATATGGTGCAGAAAAAAGACAAAAAAAAGGATAGCAAAAAGAAAACTAAATAGATTAGATAGTTTATTGTATTTCATTTCTTTTTTTTTATAAATTTTATTATAGTATAGTATTAGTATTGATAGTATGGCTAGTTATAAAATGTTAGGTATTTCTACTGTACTATAATTATAATTAATAAAGAAATGCGTTTTACTATAAAAAAAAAGAGCTATATATGAAATGGATTTTGTAGGATCATAAGTATGTAACTGATTTTATTAAAAATACCGTATCATAAAAAAATTGATCATTAGGTCTGCTCCAATATAACCCTACTATAGTACTATACTTATTTATATCTGTAACTGAAATCCTTTGTAATATGAAATAATATAAAAGGATGAATAGTCAAGACCAATGAATTATGGAATGAAGTAGAATCTTATCGGAAGAAGATTATGAATTGGATCTTATAAAATGCTTCGATAAAATAGCTTTTTAATCAACTGGAAAGAATTTTTATAATAATTCCTTTATTCTTGGAAATAATTAAATAATTTATTAAAAAGAAATTAGGAAATTTTATTTATTCAATTAAAACTTTAATACACAGAATTTATTCTTAATAAGTTTACGTGATTTTACATTCGCTCTACCGTTGATACCATTCTCCCTGAATTCTATTAAAAAATTTTAGACATTCACAACATTTCAACCCTTAGCTGTTCGACTGACAGAAATTAGCGTGAATTTGGATTATTTTATAAAATAAAGTTATATAGAAAATTATTTGGTTTGTTTACCGAGTATAAACGCTTTGAATTATTATATCTTGTCATTTGTTTATCATTATAGCACGATCCAAACATCTCTTAATTAAATTCACAATTAGTTGAGGTACTTTAATGTTAAACCTTGGTCTTAATCCTAGACAAATTTTAATTGCATAACACATGGATTTGCTTATTGGTGCTCGATTTCCAATGATATTGTATATGGAAAATTATTGACAGTGACAAATTATTCATACTCCATAGCGTTGGGCTACGCAGAACATTATGTTGTTGATTTATCATTACCATCACCACCAGATTCTACACCCAAATCCCGTATCCATTACCTCAAGCCATGTCAAGGTTGCAATTTACATATGACCTTTTACATGGGGGGAGATTTAAGACCGAAGTGTATAATCAGTAATCCACTTGCTCATTCGATGAATATATTGGCTTCAAAGCAGAAACTCTTAGCTCTAGAAATCAATTATCGTGGGCTCTTAATAAACCTCATATCACTAATCGTACGTTAGCATATAATGACCATTTGTTACGTTCTAATCAGTTAACAAGACGTGCAGTCAGCAATATTACATTATCCGAAATTGTAAATTTTTCTGATATCTTATCGTTATGCGTGCGTAATGTAACGCTCATACAATCTTTGTTATTACCAACACACCTTCACAACAAATTTATAGGAATGGCTATTAAACTACATTTAGAATATACTTTAGAATTTATTCCGATGGTTCATTATATAGACCAGATCCTCCTTTACCTCCTAATATGGGTTTTGGTTGGCTTCTCACATCTCCCAACAAATTATTAATGATGTTCTTTGGAAGATTGGATAGGTGGGCCAGTTCTACGAAGTAGGGATTAGAATCGATTCCCATTATTAGAATCGATTCTAAAATCGATTAATCGCGATTAATCGTTTCGCAAATACCGATTTTTTTTTAATAGGTGTGTTTAAACACATATCACGTGATTACAAAATACAGTGATCGACGAACAAATTTCCTTTTTCGGAAATTTGTACAACCTTGTGCGATAGCAACTTGAATTTTATTGGGAGATAAAATTTCCTTTTTAGGAAGTTTGTGTTCCGTCACGTGATTCGCGGGCGGAATTATGAATTTGGCCAAAATTAACTATTATGAACAAATAATAATTTACGGTCAAATTAACGAAACTGCGCCACAATAAGTAGATTCGATTTTTATTCGAGATTCGATTTAAAATCGATTCTTATCGATTTTCGATAGTTTCGATTTTAATCAAATCTTTTCCGATCCCTACTACGAAGGCAGAAGCCTTTGCTATCTTTAATATCCTTCTTATTTGTCCGTTCTAAAGTTCTGTGACAATTTTCACAGATTCTCAAAGTACTATAGACACATTCCATTCTATTTTTAATAATTCACTTTCAGACTGACGTCTACAAAAATCAACAATCGTCACATTTGGCAAGCAATTAAACAAATTATATTTTCCCTCAAATTGAAGGTCCTTTTGAAAAAAGTGAAAGCTCATTCTAATGATTTATTTAATGACCAGGCAGATACACTAGCAAAACAGGGAGAATATTGTGATTTGATTTGTGACATTAACCTATCATTACAAAATGGAACTTTAATTTTTAATAATGAGTTTGCTATCAATAGAAATATTTGTCAAACTTTATCAAAACCATTACAATATAGACAATTCAAAATTCATTTGTCGCATAACTCTTTACAACTCATCAAAGATTTCACGTTAGACAATTTAATTAATTGGGAATTACTAAATTCTGGATGACATATGATTCTTTTGATCACCCTACATCCAAACAACATACCAAATTTACTAGTTGGAAACTGAAGGCGTCTACCCAACAACTTCCTACATTAGACATTATGAACAGAAAATTTCTGGATATTATGAATGGTCTAACGACATGTTTCCTATGTAATGAGGAGACAGAATCTAATAATTATATATGGCAATGTAGCAAAACGTTAAGTTTATTGAAACCAATCTTTGACAATCATGCTATAAAATTACACGCAATCCTTACAGAACATGCTGATTCACCACCTTGTATATGGCAAGATTCTATTCGTTTCTGCCAACTTTTTTCATGGACACGTGACCAACAAACCAATGTTACGCATCATCAAATTTTGTTAACATTTTTACTCAACTACATCCCTCAAAAATTATTGGTATCCTTTCAAGCGACCATTAAATCGAAGAAGAAGATTAAAAGACTATTATTGAATTTTGTCCATGACTTACATGTTGATATATATACTACTATTTGGAAACTTAGATGTTTATATTTTAAAGAATGGAAAGTTCATAATAATATTACGCGAAAAAGTTTCACCTCTTACCGATGACATAATAAATCTGATTCTTCAATGATTATAAATACCCGTTCTCTCCGCGCTGTTCGTAATATCATGTCCGTATGATGACGATCGACATGCACGTGACAATAAAGTCATGTGGATTTATTTTACATCATCTAATTTTTTGCATAATTTTACCTTGGTTTCACTTTTTAGATTTTTCTTTTAGTTCGGATTTGGTTACTAGTGCGTTTAATTTCTCTTCTCTTCGTGCTCCCCCTATTTTTACTTTTGTTTCTAATTCCCTTTGTTCGTTCACTGCTATGGCGACTAGTTTTCCATTAGTCAGTTCGTTCTAACGAAGGGTGGGTCCGCCGGTTGGATTTTGTACATTTAGTTTTAGATCAATAGTGCATATGATTTTTGTAAAATTTCAATGTATCTTCGTATCTCACAAATGTATCTACCTTTCTAAAGTAAAAATAAAAATAAAATAAATTTTAATTAATTATAATATCATGTTACATAACGCAAATCTATGCAGGATTAATAATTTATCACTACAGAAATTTATTGATAAAATTAAACATGCATTTAATATCATTATTTATTTTTAAGATTATTGTCAATAAATATCATTAATGTTAAATATCTTATAGAAATTCATCGATAAAATTTTTAACACTTAATACCATAAAATATCTTTCAGATAATTATCAATACATATCATTAATGTAAATATTGTTATATTTTTCCAGTTGTTTATCGATGATGATCATAATACGTTAATTATTGATTCATTTAGTACAATAAAATGTGATAATTATCGATAAAGTGATAATTATCGATATTTATCCCCAAAAAAATTTCCTGATGTTTTCAAACATCTGGACTTACATGATCATGTCCATGATTCTCTAGGCTCTATAGGCGCAGGATTCTTTAGTCTCATTGTTTATATATTATATAAGCTAAATTGTGTGTTCAGGATTCTTCTAATGCTTTTTTTTTTATGGTTCAGGGTGTCATTTCCAGTCTTAACCATAATACTATATATATAAGCATTAGAAAATTCCTGATATTTATTTGTTGTGAACTATAGATTGGTTTCTTATTAAATTTAGGACTAAATAAAAATATTTGGTGGCTCATTTATTAATATTTGGTATAAAAGGTTAACGACTTAACGCGTTTTTTTGTATGAATAAATTTTTTGTAGAAATATAAGTTAAACGTGACATAAAAACTCCACAGCATGTTTATAATTATTGTGAGCAATCTGAGTGAGGGCCAGCATGCTGCAGCACATTTATAATCGTTGTATTTCTTGTCGTACGTGCATATTGATGATCAAAAAAACCAGTTTTAAATCAAAATAATAATATAAAAAATTTTTTATAATTGAACATTATAAATTTATGGTACATTTTAAAAATATAAAAAAATGTAATAATGGAAAGGTTAAAAAAGAAAAAATAAAAAAAAGACTAGAGAAAAAAGTTTACTATTTAAATATTAAACTATTTAAATTAATAACGCCTAAAAAGGAAAGTGATCATTGTGCACGTGACCAAATATCTTACCTGGATGGGGTACTGGGGTAGACGCTACTATTAGAGCGATATTATGTCACGACCCTTACAAACTATTTAATACATTATCAATAATTCCAATGATAAAACTAGACGTAATATTTGAACTATTTTGCATGTATTTCTTCCAATAATTTCTCTAATTTTTCTAATTTCTCTAATTTTTCTAACTTCTCTAATTTTTCTAATTTCTCTAATTTTTCTAACTTCTCTAACTTTTCGAATCTCTTATCATAAGTTTTTTCTAAATCTTCTAATTTTTCTAATTTCTTCAATATTACCTCATTGTCAATATGTTTATGTTTAATTTCAAGCACTTTTAATAAATTTTTTCGCAAATCTGTGAATTCCTTAGTATCCCATTCATTCTTTTCAATCAATCTTTTAATTTCCATTCGAGCCTTATCAGCATCAGCATAATAATGTCTTGAAAAATAAATTTAAATAATTAATAAAATCACAACATTAGATTTTTTTTAAAAAAAAAGTAAAATTACATACATTACTTCAGGAAACCATGTATTCCAACGTCTCTGATGTGGTAATAGGTAAAATAACTCAATCTCTGCCAAAATCTAAAAAATAAAAATTGAGATATATTAGTATATTTACTGAGATGGAATGATTAATATTAGTATTATTTACCTCTGCCTTCTGTAACAAGTATGATACTCTATTATTATCTTCTTCAATTGCATTATTGAGTAACCCAATTAACAAATTCATAAGATATACAACAATTAAGAGGGAAAATAAAACAATCAATATTGCCATTGATGGATTATCTGCATATTGCCAATTGGATAATGCACTTGAATCACCTATTGATAAAAGAATTGCTTAAAATTATTAGAAAAACATTTATGTATATTTATATAATTATAAAAATTTAAATATACCTATTAAAAATAAATATATAGCGAAAAGAGAAGTTCTGATATCTATAAACATGTTTGTATTTTTATCAGGAATTTGTATCATCAATGGTTTAAAGTTTATATTTCCATCACTATAACTAGAAGCTAAATTCCAAGGATTATTTGGATCGTCATTATTTGTATTATGTTCAAGTGAAAATTCTGATCTTGGTAATAATAAAATATAAAATGCGTGTGCAAAACTTATTATAATAATGAATAAGACTACTAAAAAAGAAAAAATCTTTTTACCAACACTAATAATAATTGCAAAATATACACCAAAATAATCAAATGCTCTAAAAAATAACAAAAACTTTATATCCAAAAATAAGCATGAAAAAGAAAGCAATTGAATTAGATAATTATTGTTCTTATCATTTGTTTGAAGCCAATAAATAGAAGTGTAAATTGAAAGTACATAAGCAATTATATCTGAAATATTATTAAAATATTAATTAATTTCATTCTCTTAAAATATTATAAAAATAATTAAATTAAACATTTATATTTACCAAAGATATTCCAAAAATTATAGAACCACTTAATAATATTATAAAAAAATTGACGAATTTCAAAAATCAGATGAATAAATCCAAGTATAATTGAAACAATAAAAAGTTGTTGTCTAACTTCTTCACTGATATATTGCTGAGAAATTGTTGCAGCAGCAGTAAAGCATCCAAGTAAAACCATAAATAAAATCCAAATCATTGCATAATAATATTTTCCATAAGCATTCCATTTAAAATTAACTAGTGCTTCTCCATTCCATGTTTTATAGATATTTCTATTTATTGTTTGAGTAAATGGACTAGGTTGAGGTCTAATTAATTCTAAAAACCAATTATAATCTTTTGAATAATTAACAAAATTAATATAAGGAATAATAAAAGTAATTATTGGTGTTGTTGTCATGTTTTTTTTAAAAATATAAAAAATAATTTGTTCAGCAAAGAAATAAACATGAGAAAATGCATCTGAAGTGTAAACATTATTAATAAAATTGTATTCTGATAAAATATAAAATGTAGCCAAATAAAGGGGTAAAGTTAAAAGTATTATTAAAACTTGAATAAAGTATATAATTAATGTTATAAATTTCATCAATAATAGTTCACTACCATAAATTGTCCAATAAAATTTATGATGGTATTTTGACCATAAAAGAGATTGAGATAAATTAGCTATTTGAGGAGCTTGAGAAAAAGAATAAAGATGTAAATTTCTATTTTGATGCTTTATACTATAAAAAGAAGAGTCTATGATCATATTCGTTTCTAATGAATATTTTAGAATATATTCTGGATAATATTCATTTAGTAATGGCATTGCAGAAATGATAATGCTTAAAAATGACTTATTGTTCATTAAATCATCTTTAAAATAAGTCATACATTTTTTATAAATATTATCAATTAATTCTAACTTATGTTCTTTAATTGCAAATGTTAATAAATTGATTCCATATTTCAAAAGAATTGACTTATTATTCATTACATGTGAAACCCATCCATTTAATCTAAAACTATCATTATTTGGTAATGATAAGGTAGATTTTGAAAGTATTCTTTTGAAATGTTGAAGCATTTCCATATATTTTCCTCTAATATTATAAATTAAAAAGTCAACATTATTGAATTTTATAAAATAAAAATAGTTTAAAGAAATAGAATTGTTATTTTCATTAAAAGTATAAAAAAGAATACCAAATGTTGTCAATATAACAATATCATTGTTATTAAATAATGAACTTGCAATTAAATAATGAAAATTGCTGATATTATCATTAATATGAGCTTTATAAGGATAATGAAAATTCTCAATTCTCATGTTAATTAATTTTCCTTTTTTGAAAACTTCCAGGTTAATTTTACTATCACCAATACGTATATTCCATTTAATTAAATGCTCAGTTGATTCAGTTAATTCATTGAAAATTTTATATTCAGCTGATTCTCCATTTGTTGTGATTTTTTGCAATAATGTAGACACAGCATCCATATATAGATTAAATGAAGGAACATTTAAGTATTTATCATCATCATCACATTCAATAATTTTATTATTTTCTTTATTTAATTCATCAGAATTTTTGGATGGTAAGTTCAGTTTTGACATCTTTTCATCAAGTTTAGATTTCCAAACATGCCTATTTTGAATTCCAAATACAAACCCTGTTTGTTTATCAATTGGTTCATCAAATAAAGTTTGATTAAACATATTTTTGTATTTACTATTCCAGCAATATTTGATTTCTTTATCTGGTGTATAATAGAATAAAGAAGGTAAAAGAAATGAACCAGTATGATTCATAAATTTATATAGTTGAATATCTAAATAAAAAAATTAATGATTTAATATGATTAATAATTAAAGTATAAATAAATTTTTTTAAAAATGTTACCATTATTTATATCCAACGAAGCAATAGGAATTCCCAATTCATTTGAATAAACAATGATTTTATAATTGATTTTTAGAAAGATAAACTTTTCATTACTGAATATTCCTATATTTTTTGTTTTAAACTAAAAAAAAATAATAAATAGTATTTAATATATTTAATTGTAATTTAACATTTGATTGGTCGGAAAATAATTTTATTGTATTCATTACCTTATTCTTATCCTTATTATTACCAAATATTTTTACACTTTTCTCAGTATTAATATCCCATTCATAAATGTAATAATTTGAAAACAGGTAAACTTTATCATATTTTGATATACTAATTAATTCATAATCTACAGGTATCCTGTAAAATCTCTTACATTCCCATTTGTTATTTTTAGTTTGTGTGGAATAAATCCAAATAATTTTATGTTTTCCAAATGTACTATGTTCGTAAAACTTATTATTATATATAATAAATTCACCTTTTAAATTAAAGGTACAATAGTTTGGATTAACTACATCAAAACTTAATGCAATTCTTTTGTCTTTATTATTCATATCGAGTACTAAAAAAAATATTAAAATAAATATCAATTATCATAAGTTTATAATTACATAATATTACTTACCATTATGAGTACCATTTTTATTATTAAAAATAAATTTCTCATCAGAAACACATAAACTATAGATACTTTCATTAATTTTAACAGTTTGATCAAATTTAAGTTGAACCTTATCTATATCTTCAACATTCCAACCGACAATTGAACCATCTTCTTTACTATAAGTAATAAGGTAGTCTTCATTTGTTGATATTTCTATCCTAGTAATAGGGTTACCATTATGTAGTTTATTATCGAAGGTAAATATTTCATCATTATTTTTATGAACATCATTTTTATCAACTTCGATTTCATCAAAATCTATTTTATCAACATCAATTTTATCAACTTCGATTTCGATTTTGTTAGCATCATCGTTAATTTTTACTGAAATGTCATCCATCTGGTAATCGCTTATAAATATATAAATTTATATCCAATAAATTATTTTTTTACCTCGTCCATTTATTTATATACTTTTTTTTTTATTTTTATTTTGAAACACATGTGCAAACATGCATGGCTGTACGTAATATTTCCTATTGCATAAAAAAAAAAATTTTTTTTATCATAAAAGGTTAATTGAGCTTTTTTATTTTGTAACACATGAATAAATATGCATGGCTGTACTTAATATTTCGCCTAAAAAAAATCTTTTTTATAAATTAATTGAGTAATGATCAACATTTATTTTTTTGTTGTACATATATATGAGGAAATCTCAAATGAAAATATGCTTTTTAAAAAAACGATTTTCCTTTTTAATATTTATTTTAAATTATTTAATTATCTTAAACTATAATATAAAAATCTTACATCATACAAAAAAAAAAGAAAAAACACACCGAAATTACCATGGGGATCAGGCATCCTAAAAAGGATATCGGCCAAGAACTACATTTCAATACTTGCCTTACGAGTTACAACCACCCGCCTGACATTTTCTTTGCAAAAAATGTTGGATGGTGATTTTAAATCAGTATTAAAGGTAAATTATTTTTTTGATGATAGTCAATTTTAGCAAACTATAAAAGTTTAATTTTTTTATGATTAAAAACAATTATATTAATTATTTGTTAAAATTTTTTGATTATTAATTAATAATTAAATCAGTAATTATCTAAGAATTTCTCATTTTATGGCGGTTCGCTTGTAAGAGCAGGGGAGTTGTTATAATCCATAAAAAATTTTTTTCAATGGTAAAATTGATTAATAATAATTATCAAAGGATTTTATTTTTTATCTCGATAAAGGTTAATAAAATTGATTTCAAATCGAAAATTATAAAACGAACTCGAACACCACATCATGTAATATTAATTCATAGTATTACGTAATCATTTATTTTACAATACCATACCAACGCCGGCAACGCGTTCCTTTGTTTTTCTGGTTTGGGAACATTACTAACGTTCCCTTTCTTTCTTTTTTTTAGGAATGGCCTTGGACCTAGACTTTGACATTGCAAGGTGAGTTTTTTTTTTCGTGATTTTCATTTCTTTTTCTGGTTTAGGAACGTTATCAACTTCTCTCCCTTTCTTTTTTTTAGGAACGGTCTTGGACTTTGACCTGGATTTTGACATTACAAGGTGAGTGGGTGGGTGTATTTTTTTTGTGGGTTTTTTTTGGTTGGGAACGTTATTAACGTCTCTCTCTCTTTCTTTTTTTAGGAACGGCCTTGAACTTTGACCTGGACTTTGACATTATTGTAAGGTGAGTGGGTGGGTTGATTTTTTCGTGGATTTCTTCTCTTTTTTTTTGGTTCGGGAATGTTACTAATGTCCTCTCTCTTTCTTTTTTCTAGGAACGGTCTTGAACTTCGAAATGGACTTTGACATTGCAAGGTGATGGATGGGTTGATTTTTTCGTGAAGTTTCATTTCTTTTTTTGGTTTTGGAATGTTACTAACATTCCCTTTTTTTTTTTTTTTAGGAACAACTTGGACTTTGGCCCAGAGGATTTTGAATTGTAAAACGAGTTGGTGTTTTGTTTTATTTGTTCATCTTTTTTTAATTCGGGAATGTCTCTAACGTTCTCTCTTTTTTTAGAAATAACTGAACTGGACTTAAAAATTGTCTTTTTTATTTTTGTTAATCTTAGTGTGGTTATTTCATTTGGCTCTCCTTTGTTTTTCTTAACTCTTGGTAAGTTGGCTTCGTTTGGGATGTACAGTTCGCGAAAAAAGTAATCGGAATTACAAAAGGAGCAAAAAATAAAAAACCAGTGATTAGAATTTTTTCAAATTTTGCAAGTTAGTTGTTAAATGTGTAAACATTGTGTTTATTAAATCTCAGCCTTTTTGTCTTACTTAGTTGTCTCTCAATCAATTTTTTAATTTGAAAAAAAAAATAATTAAAAATTTAAGAAATGAAAAATTCATAAAGATTTTAATATTGTACTCAGAAATCAACAATCTGCCTGTATATCTATAATAAAAAATTATAAACATAAAAGAATATCCATAATTAATTTATTAAAAAATTTGTTGCTATTTTAATCAGTTATTTTTTCAGTAAATTAAGTTAAAATTGACTCAAAAATCCTCGAAAATCATTAAAATTTAGATAAATTTAACTACATTAAAGTATTTGGATTAATAATTTTTATTTGTATATTTTGAAAATTATTAATCTAAACATTAAATATATTTATAATAACTTATATATTTATTTTTTTTATGTTTAATTTTGAATTTTAGTTCTTTTAATGAAAATTGAGGGTAAAGGTCAGATTGCGATCATCATGATGAATCAACTTTCTCAACGAATGTACCATAACCGATTAAGGTTACGGTACATTTCTCTGAAAGCCATTTCGCCGAAAGGACGTTTCGCTGAAAAATAGGGCCAACATTATGCAGAATTATAAATAATTCAGGCCAGAGATTATTTTTCGGCGAAATGTCCCGATACCCACGATTAATATGTGCCTTATTTAGCTCGATATCTGAAAATTGCTTCATATGGCCGGATTTTTATTTATAAGATCAAAAATTTTTTAGCCAATAAAATTTAATTATGTAAATATATATTTGAAAAATTTATACGTAAAAATACGCGTTTATTAAACAAAATATTTATACGTAGCCTTTATAGATGAATTTACAATTTTTACTCATACTATGCAAAATTTTCGATATAATTAACGCAATAAATAATAGAAAATAATTAAATTATTAAAATATTGCGTTAATTTCTTGATATCTATAAATAAATAATTACAAAAATTAGATTTAATATTATAAAGTTTAAAATTTTATTAGTTTTGAATACAGTATTAAAAAAAAATTATTTGAGAAATCTACTAAAAATAATATAATTTATTGGAAAAATTCTTTACCTCAAAATCCTTGTGTTAATTCAAAGATTTATTTGGCTAGTTGAGATTTTGTTATGTTAAATTTGTAATCACAAGAAATATATGTAATTTTGATAAGTCTCAGAACACAGTAATTTATGTAAAAATATATCTATCAATAAAACATTTTTAATTAACATGTAAAGTTTTTAAAAATTAAAATTTTATTTTAAAAATTAATAAAGTTAATAATATATTATGATTTTTTAAAACACTTCGCAAAATATTAATGTCTTACTGCATTTGACATTAAAACCAAACATAATTTTGAAAATACTAAACTAAAATATGAAGAACTTACAAAGAAAATTATTTTGCCATCATTAAAAATTGTCATAATTCTGTTTCCCTGCCAATTAAATTTTTCTTTTGCTTTGGACATTGAGCTAGGGATTGGAAAAGATTCGATTAAAATCGTATCTATCGAAAATCGACAAGAATCGATTTTAAATCGATTATCGAATAAAAATCGAATCTATTTATTGTGGCGCAGTATCGTTAATAAATGTTTATTAATTACACAAGTTAGCATTTTGCAGTATTAAACAAGGAAGTATTACTTCATTATGTGATGAAGCAGACGAACTCTTTGTTAGAATAATATGTATTACATCATTTGTAATCAAAATATCAAAAATTTTTTTTAAAGTAACTTTTAAAATGTAATGAAATTTTTATTTGCAAACTAAATACTTACACGTTTATAATGATAATAATAATAATTTATTAATTAAAGATACGTTTTATTGATTAAAAATATAAATATTAACAATTTTTATTTATTTATTTATTTATGGAAATAACAGAAATAATGAAAATAAAACGAAGATAATGTGCAATAACAAAAAGAAGAGTAAGAAACAAAATATAATGAAAAAAATAATGAATGAAGATCAACAAAAGAAGTGAAGGGAAGAACAAAATAAATGAAGAGGAATAAAAAGTAATGAAAGAAACAAAGGTGGAGTAAAAAAAATGAAAGAAGCAAAAGAGAGGTGAAAAAGGGATGAAAAAAACGAAGGGGATAAAAAGGAACGAAAAAAATGAAGGAGTGAAAAGGAATGAAAAAAACGAAGGGAAGCGAAAGGAACAAAAGAAAATGAAGGCCTTTATAACATATTTTCAGCCCACTTAAAGACAGAAAAAAATTTGCCAACTTCTCTGTCAATTTCTAATCATTTGCATACGCTGTAACCCGAGAAATCAGGATGATCACGTGAGCGGATGAATAAAAGACCGAATGGAACAAGGATAAATAATTAACCGATAAAATAATATTTATAGTTTAGTTTAGTTTAGTCACAAGATAGTCATATGATAATATATCTTTATTTTCTTATTGTTCTTAAATTTTTATTAGTAGAAAAGTTAGAAGTGGTAGAAATAGTTTTCTTAAAAATGTATAAATATAGGTGGGATTCGTTAGGAATTTCGCAGTCAGTTTTGACTCAAATTTAATAAATTAAATATTAATTATTAAAAGTTATCTTGAATATGCTCATTGTACGCTTGAGAATTAATTAATATTATTATTAAGTCCAGAAAAGTAAAAGTAAAAGGAGTTATTCTCGTTTTATTGTATGAAATATAAGAAGTTAGGAGAACTCTCGCAGTTTATAAGAAATAAGATGGTAATATTTGAAAGAATAAATATTACAGGCAACATAATATTGTGAGAATATTATGAATGAGTGGTAGTATTGAGAATAAATACTATGGATATATGAGAAAGAAAGCGAGAAGTTAAAAGAAAAATAAAATCTAAACCAAGCAAAGTAACGAGAAATAAGTTAAATGAGAAAGATGTGTTTATCCACGGGTGGCAGACGTGGGTGACAATTTGGTGCAATGCTTCCGAGAAAGGAAATGATCAATAAAGATTAAAAGAAATGAAATATGATCATTCTGACTATCTTCATATAGTTAGGTACCTGTATGGTATTCCTGGAGGATCTGGACTTGAGTATAAAAAGAAAAAATTATTAAGTGTACAATGAGAAATAAAAGAAGTACAAGTAATGAAGGATAATCAAAGCGTGTATTGCTTGTGATTAGGAGATTTATCAGGAAATTATGAAGTTTATTATAAGAAGTTGAAAGAAGTATATGTTAGTATGAAAAAGGACTAACAAGAAGTGTATGTTAGTATGAAAAAGGACTAACATGAAATGAAAGAAATACACTAGACGATGTATAAGCCTGATAAATAAGAAATAAAAAGTTGTTAATGACAAACCTAGAAACTATCATACTTCGATATGAAGGTAGAGATAAGCCTAGTATAGGTTATTGGAAGTAAAAGGAGATAATTCTATAAGAATTATTGGAGTTAAGTTAGTCACGATAATTGACTATAAAAGAAAATATGACCGTATTGAGATTTCACGGTAAGAAAGTAAATCTAATAAAAGAAATAATGCAAAAGTTGCGGGTGAACTATAAACCCAAGAGGTTGTGTGGGAACCTTACAAGAAAAACACTAGTGGTTATGTGGGAACCTTTAAAGCACTATAAGATTGTAAGTTGTGGGTTAAGCTGTAATAAACCCTCTAGATTGTAAGTTGCGGGTTAAACTGTAAGAAACCCCCATTATTAAGATTGTAAGTTGTGGGTTAAGCTGTAATAAACCCTCTAGATTGTAAGTTGCGGGTTAAACTGTAAGAAACCCCCATTATTATTATTGTACGTCGTGGGTAAAGCGGTGTTAAACCCTCATATTAATTTATTTTTGAAGAAACTTGCTGGTCAAGTAAGAGAATAAAAATAGTTGTGTCACCAGGGGCGTTAGTCAACAGAAATTTTAGTAAGTTGATCGCTTAAAAATCCGTGGCTATCCAGCTATAATAAAAGAAAGAATGATGTTAATGATTATGAGAAGTATAATAAAAGAATTGTATCAAGTATGAAATAAAAAGAAATAGTATTGTTGAATATTTGATGTTGTAAGAATGGAGTTATAAAAATTAAATATGAGTCCAAGGTTTAAATGTAACAACTATATGTTGTTGGTATAATGGTAAGTGTTTGAACAATTGGGCTTATGATCTTCAGTTCGATTACAAATGTGAGTGAATAAAATGAGATTATACTGCGGCAAGTCACGTGAGTAATACAGATCATGTGAGTAGTACAAGGCACAGTAAAAGAATTGGAATGTTATACAAGTCACGTGAGTGATACAGATCATGTGAATGGTATAGGGCACAGTAAGAGAAAAGTTAAGAAAGAAAGTAGAAAGGAATTAAAGAACGAAAGAAATAATTAGAGAAAAGGAGATTGAAGTTGAGAAATAAAGAATTATAAAAGAAATAAAGAATTTAATGAAATACTGAGAACGGTTGATGGAACAATAAGAATGAATAACCAATAGAATAATAGGAAAATATCAAATTATGAGTATATATATAGTTGCCCCTGGGCAGGGACGACTGACTAATAAAATAATAAATAAATAAGAAATAATAAATCATGAAATTAAAAGTTAAAATATCAAAAGGAGAATTGAGAAAAGTTGAAGAAAAACTAAATGATTGTATTGAAGTGGAATTTTATGATGAAAATGACATGAGACTAAAGAATTGGATTGTCACATGCGAGATAGTTACTGAAAGAATATTTAACGAAGAAAAAATTGAACTTGATGAAGATATGATAGAAGAAAGTGATAATAGTTCAGGAAATAGGAATGTTAATGATGAGTCAGAATTTAATATAGAAAAAGATGAGAATAACAAAAGTAATGATGAGAATGATAATGATAATATAGTAGTAGATGAAATAAATAATGATGGAATAGCTGATGAAGAAAGATCAGAATTAATGGAAATAGATGACAAGAATGATAAGGTTAGAGAAAAGGAAGAAGATAATAGTAGTGAGAAAAATGGAACTGATGATAGTGAAGAAAATGAAGAAATAGTTAGATCAGAAAATTACCAAGTTTTAATGATTAGATTAAAACATAAGAAGGAAGATATTGACGAAGAAATGTTAGAAAAGGAGAATGGAGGACTATCGTTATTACAATTATGTCATAAAATGAGAAGGAATAATCAGATGTTATTGGAAATACATTATTATTTAGGAAAAAGGTTTGAAGAAAGATTAGAACAAGAAATTAATATGCGAAAAGGGAAAAATAGAAAAAGGAGAACAGATAAAGAGGAACGAGAAAAGATATATAAGGAAATGTTGGAAACAGATGTAGTAAGAACAAGAAAAGGATTAAAAAGAATGATGGAAAAAGCAGAAAAAGTTTGTTTATTAGTTAATAAGATAGGAAAGAAAAGAGTATTCGAAAGTAATTGTGATATTACATCAGTAGATAGTTGTACTAAGAAAGAAATAACAGAAATAGCGGAAGATCTTATAAGAGGATAAGAAATAGAGGAATGAAAGGTCAAAATATAGAGATTAAAGTCTGAGAACCTTGAAATGTTTAAAATAAAGTTATAAAAAGGGCAAAATTTGTACCGTGAAAAGAATTTGAAGTATATATATTTTAAGAAGTAATACAAAAGATTAAAATGGAAATACCAATATTTTATGGTGTAATAGGAGAAAATCCAAAAGAATGGACAAATCAAGTAGAAAAATATCTGTCAAAGATAGGAATTAAAGACGATAGAAGAATATTTAAGATTGCAAAGACATATTTGTTAGGAAATGCGTTATAATGGTTTGAAAATGAAGGAATGTGTATTACAGATTGGGATAAAAATGAGATCAAATGGTTGAATTTAAAATTTAGAATAATTGATAGATATTCGAGTGACAATAGAAGCTAAGTAATCAATTATTATAAAAGTAGAAGGAAATGGATAATGACAAAATAAAATAATAATAAATGAGAAATTCTGAGTAAAATACAGGAAATGAAAACAATGATATTTGAAAATATAAACGAAAAAGGTTTTATTAGAATAGACGGTGAAGTAAAATGTAAATATTGCAAAAAAAAATAGAGAATGTAACATTACAAGAAATTAATTATTTTGAAGTTAGGGAAGAAAGCGAAGAAAGTTTAAGAAATAAAATAGAAACGTTATGTAAAGAATACTTTCGAAAAGGAATGGGATACCTTAATGAATATGAAGAAAGATGTGAACACAAAAATATGAATATATTGCGAATTGGAGAATGTAAAATAGCCGCATACAGGAATAATCAGAAAATTTATGAACAGACAGAATATAGGAATTGAAGAATAAGATGAATATTAAAGGACGAAATAAATATACAAAAAGACGTTAGAAGATAATGGGTGGAATAAAAGAATATCATAAGAAGAATAATAAGCGTGAAGAAATCAAGCGGTTAAGATGGAAATACAGGAAAAATGTAAATAATAAGAATTTAGAGACAAATAGTTGTCCAGAAAGACGTTAAACTAATTAGGAATTTATGAAGTTGGAAGAATATCAAGTTATAAGTAATAGAATACTATGTGATATAAAATATAATAAAGAAATGTAGTAGAAAGTTGTAAACATGAAAATATAAAAGAAATAAAGATTGAAATGATAAACGAATAAATACTATATGAATAAAAATATAAATAGACGGGAAATATGAAATGAAATCATTTTGCAAGTAAATAGGTAAATAAAATAAATCAAGATGTCTGAAATATACGATGAATTAGAAGAGATCAAAAATATACATGAAATAGAAAAACATAATGAATCGAGGAAGGAATATCAAGTAGATCCTTCATGCCTGAAATGTTATAGTATTGATGAAATAAAGATAGAAGATTGGTTTAAAAGATTTTGGAAAATTTTTCAAAAAGTAATATTAGAAGCAATGAGTTATAACAGAAATACGTATATGAAATTAATGGAATACATAATACTAACAAGAAAGGATGGGGAAGAAAATTATCCATCTAGTAAAAAGAAAAGAAATAAAGAATTTGAGAGAATGAGAAAAGAAGGAGAAAAACTGTTGGATGTAGTCGTAAGATCAATAAGGTATAGAAATAAACCGGACTACAGAAAAATAGGAATTATATCAGTAATAAAAGTAATATGTGAACATTACATACTGAATGAAGATAATGAACTTATATTAGATGAACAAACAGAAGAGAATTTATTAGGAAATAGGGAATTGTTAACATATAGATATATTATAGAAGATGATGAATTAGATATGAGATTTGCAAAATTTGAGGAATGGTTAGAAAAAACAGAACCAATAACCATTAAAAACAAAGGATATAGCACAATGAGATATTTCAAGGAAATATTGCATTTAGAAGAAAATATAGTAGAAGAAGAGAATAGAGAGAAAGTCAGAAAGTTTCAGAAAAGTATAACATATCAATGGTGGGATGGAAATAAATACCCGAAACCATGGATAGATGATGACATAACAGATAAGATAATAAAGAAAATTGTAGAAGCAAAAGGTTTTGTTGAAGAACAAAGTGATGTAGGAGAACTGGAAAATTCAGATGATTTAGGAGAATCAAGTTCGAATGAAGGAGATGAACATATAGAGAGAATATATAGAAATTATTGGTTAGAAAATGGTTATGAAATTGATACTGAAGAGATAAGGCGAATAATAAATTTCAGAGTGGAATATGAAATAATGAAGACTAAAGAATTTATGAGTTTTTACAAAACTATTGAAGAATTAGATGACGAAAGAATAGAAGAAGAGTTAAGAATATGGCATTATATGTATACGATAGAATGCCCAATGTGCAATAAAATAATATTAAAGAAAGAAGCAATAGAAGCGGTAGAATACAATAAAGAATTTATAGAAAAGATATGTAAAATTTGTTATGAAAAAGGACCAGAAAATGTAAAAGATGAGAATGAATTGGATGATGAAACAGAAATAGAGAAAAGGTTAGAACAGTTAAAAAATCTAATCAAAGTTTTAGAAATTGAAGTTTCCGTTGGAGTATTATTAAGATTAATGAGTATGGGATATAGAGATGTTGATATATTAAGTGCAGACTTTATAAGAAAATTTCAAGAATATAAAAATGAATCGGAAAAAGAAATAAAGAGAATATTAGATGAATACTTAAAGAAATTTGAAATTGAAGAAAGTGAAGAGGAAGTTGAAGAAGAAAATGATGATACAGATAATTCAGAAAAGATTGGAGAAATATTAGATCCAGAAGAATACGAGATTTGGGAAGGAAATTCTAAAGACCTCAATGAAAATGAAGTTGAAAATAATAATGAAAATGTTATAAATACAGGAGGTTTTGACTTAAGTCAAAATTCAGATTCGAATAATTCGTTGAATATTAGGGATTCTGATATTGAAAATTCTGATACAGAAAGTGAACTATCTGATTATAATTTACAGGATTTATTTCAAGAGAATATATTATTGAATATGGCAGAAAGAAATCACATCAGAGAAGATTTGAGAGTATTTGGAAATATAATGTTAGGACATGATATAGGAAATTATTGGAATGCTTTAGTTCCACCAGCAAATACGATATTTGGAAGAATTAATCAAGTTGAAACAAGAATTGGAAATTTGACAGGACCAGTGAATAGAGCAGCGAAAGTAGGAGATTTACCATTATATTATGGAGGAGATCAAGATCCATATGAGTGGATTAGAGATTTTGAGGTTGTTTGGAACGCAAATGGTTATCAAGAAGGAGCTAATCAAATAGATAAAATAAGAAAAGCAGCAGCATGTATGCGAGGAGAAGCAGCTGATTGGTATGAAGGCAAACAAGGAGATATACAAAGATGGGAGGACAATGGTCATAACCATGGGAATAATGATTTTACTAAAATACTGAAGGAACATTATGCAAGCGATGTTAGAAAGAATCAATGGATTAGAGAGTTACAAACGATTAAACAAGAAATGAATGAGAAAGTAGGAGCATATGCAAGCAGATTCAGAAAGTTAATAAGAAAAATAGCACCAGGAGTTAATGATTTAGGAGAAATGTATAAAATTAACTATTTTATTCAGGGACTGAATCCAGTTATGATATCAAGAGTAATGGAAACAGCACCAGCGACGTTGGATGCAGCTGTTGAAAGAGCTAAAATTATAGAGACAGGAAATCAAATGATGATACAAAGTATGATGAATCAAAGTTTGTTAAATCAGAATAATATTCAGAATAATAATATTCAAGATATTAGACAAAACAGTGATAAAAGAAATGAACAAGAAAATAAGTTTAACAAACCGTTAAAGGAAGATTATGAGGACGATTTAGTGGAAAAATTAGAGAAAATGAGAATTGCCAAATTGGAAAAACAAGTACGAAATATGGAAAGGGAGTTGAATAATAATGGGAATAGAAACCAATTGAATCAGAGAAGAAATAATGGAGCACCAATTAATTATGATGAAATAACTTGTTTTAGGTGTAATAGAAGAGGTCATTTTGCGACTAGATGTCCATTAGGAAATAATATCAGAAGAAATGAGAGAAGAGTTAATTTAATGGATATAGAAGACCATGAAGAAGATTATGACTACGAAAATGAAGAATCAGATGATGATTACGACTATGAAAATAATGAATATGATGATCCACAATTGTATAACTACAATCGTGATTTGTATGAAAAAGATAACCCAGTACAAG